ACCGGAATGTTTTATGACTCCCCGTACGCCTAGTACACTGATGGAAACCTTCCTATGAGGCGTCTACCGGAGACGTCTCACAAACAACTTAATCTATCTACAAGGATGAAGGTAGAAATCTTCCCCGATTTTCGTGATTTTTATAATATTTGAATATATTATATTTAATTTAAGGCTAAGGTAGAGAATGAAGAAATAAAAGAGAAAGAAACGAAGTGGAAGAAGGGGAACGGGAGTAATGAAAAATTTGTAATTTGTAAGAAATGTTTCGGCCCGTCAAGTCGTACACTCTTCTTGAAGACCGTGCACGGCATGTCGAGTAAATGTTTATAAATAGGGTTGTGAGGAATAAAAAAGTAATTCTAAATAGTAAAAAATATGTATAGTAAAAAATAATAGAACAGGTGTTTAAAATTGATATGGTATTTTTCTTTGATTTTTATTTAAAAACGAGGAAAAATATTGGTTATTAAATAATTAAATAAAAAAAAAAATAGTTTACACGACACTGAGTTCTAATTGTAGAAGTTATCAAAATTTTTTGTATTTGGATAAAAATATTTGGAGGAGTGAAAACTGTAACGGGAAAAGAAAGATCAACATGTTTCATTAAGTTTGTAGTTCTGGAATCCAAGACTTTTATATGTCTTTAATAAATTTGTTGCATTTCTTATAAATCGGTCTATTTCAGACTCAATTCGTAGAAATCGCAATAACTGACTATAAAAAATATTGTAATGTATAGTAGTATGAATATTACTGTCTGGATACGTATACCTATTGACTGTAAAATTGAAATTATTGATCTTATTATACAAAGTTGTACTTATTTGTCTTTCATTAGTATGTTGAAATGTTATAACCAGGAAATTTACACCGTTGCCATTTCTAATTCCAAATCCTCCCTACAAATAGAAGTTGTAATATTTATAAAGTTTTTCACATAAGTAAAAAGTGGATCACCAACGTATCGACACAAAGATAATCGTGGATTAGTACCTGCTGTAGAATATTTATATTCTAAGATAGAGAAAGCTAAGTCAGCAATATCCAGGGTAGCATTACCTCCCGTGGGTACTCCTTTTATTTTAAATATTTTACCCAAGCATCGCACATATGATTCAGTAACGACGCAGCACATCAAAGAACATAT